AATACAGCTTTGTTTTAATTTAAATCATTTTAATTTACTTTAATTCATCGAGCACTCTTATGAAGAATATATATATATATATATATATATATATATATATATGTATATGTATATATATATATATATATATATATATATATATATATATATATATATATATATATATACATATAGCACTAATACGTATACATATATATATATATATATATATATATATATATATATATATATATATATATATATATATATGTATATATATGTATGTATGTATGTATACGTATTAGTGCTTGCATATATGCAAGCACTAATACGTATACAATAATATATATATATATATATATATATATATATATATATATATATATATATATATATATATTATGTATTCTATATTATATATTATATATATACAAAATTATATAAATAAACTCATTTTCTTTTGTACAGAATTATTTTTCACGAGAAAAAAAAACATATTTACACCTGATGATTGCATTTAGCATGAAACTTATAGTAGTCAAAAATATGTAGTTTTATTTATAAAAAATATATATAAATACAGCTTTGTTTTAATTTAAAATCGTTTTAATTTACTTTAATTCATCGAGCACTCTTATGAAGAATATATATATATATATATATATATATATATATATATATATATATATATATATATATGTATATGTATATATATATATATATATATATATATATATATATATATATATATATATATATATATATATATATATATATATATATATATACATATAGCACTAATACGTATACATATATATATATATATATATATATATATATATATATATATATATATATATATATATATATATATATATATATATATATATGTATATATATGTATGTATGTATGTATACGTATTAGTGCTTGCATATATGCAAGCACTAATACGTATACAATAATATATATATATATATATATATATATATATATATATATATATATATATATATATATATATATATATATATATATATTATGTATTCTATATTATATATTATATATATACAAAATTATATAAATAAACTCATTTTCTTTTGTACAGAATTATTTTTCACGAGAAAAAAAAACATATTTACACCTGATGATTGCATTTAGCATGAAACTTATAGTAGTCAAAAATATGTAGTTTTATTTATAAAAAATATATATAAATACAGCTTTGTTTTAATTTAAAATCGTTTTAATTTACTTTAATTCATCAAGCACTCTTACGAAGATATATATATATATATATATATATATATATATATATATATATATATATATATATATATATATATATATATATATATATATATATATATATATATATATATATATATGTATGTATGTATACGTATTAGTGCTTGCATATATGCAAGCACTAATACATATACAATAATACAATAATATATATATATATATATATATATTAGGGCTGTACCGGATTTAATTTTTTCAAATCCGGCCGGAGCCGGATTTGCCGGATTTCTACTGACAGATCCGGCCGGAATCGGAGCCGGAGCCGGATTTCAAAACAAAACTACAGGAGCCAAAATCCTGTACATCCCTACTTGGTGTTGAGCATGGTCAACAATGTGGACTATTCAGAATACCAAGTGACTGCTGTTTTCTGTTAAACTTCATTGTTGTTATTTAAAAAGTTTTATAGCAATTTCTATATATAAGTTAATAAAATTCTAAAAAAATTCTATAGGCCATATGTTTTAAAAGTTTATAGTAATTCTATTAAACTTTTTTTCCGGGATTTTGTCAATCCGCAACTGTAGTGGATCATTGTGTCTATTTATTTCTGGTTCTTTCGGATATTTCCTTAGTTGAGTTTTAATGCCTTTTAGTAATTGTTGTTTATGTGCCCTGCCACCAGCGGACGTAGACTGAATAATTTTATCAATAAATTGCCAGAGTAATGATGATGATGATGATGTAGAAAAATTATTAAGCCCGGCTTATTTTGGTGGATTTTCTTCAGTTTTGTCAATCTTCTGTTCAGCATGCTCAGATTGACTTCAATCTTGTTTTTTCAGCTGTCAGTGTTGCCTGTAATGAGGAGAATTTAGTTTTAAATTGTGAGTCAACCAGCCTCGTCAGTATATAAAGAGGTTTCTCTTTTCAATGCTTTTAAAACGCTCATCCAATCACTTGATTAGGGTTGACATCATAGTCTTTATACCTGCATCATTGTAGAATATCGTGTGTCTTCCCTTCAGAATTTTTTGTTGCGTTGTTATTTGAAATTAGACTAAGCTTATTAAATTGTAAAGAAATATAAATACAAATACCAAAACAAATATGAGGTTCATAAAATATAGAATTGCAAAAAAAATTGATTTTTATAAATAAAATATTAGGTATACATGTAAACACGGGCAAAAAAAATGTAATAAATATTTGACAAAATTCAAAACTCCGGCTAAAATTATGCCGGATTTGCTAAATTTTTGCCAGAGCCGGATTTGGGCCGGATTTGTAAAAATGGCCGGATTTCGGCCGCAGCAGGAGCCGGAGCCGAAATCCGGTACAGCCCTAATATATATATATATATATATATATATATATATATATATATATATATATATATATATATATATATATATATATATATATATATGTATATATATATTATATATTCTATATTATATATTATATATATACTATATTATATAATAAATATATATATATATATATATATATATATATATATATATATATATACAATAGTATATATATATATGTATATATATTATATATATGTTTATATATGTATATATGCATTATATATATGTATATATATTATATATATGTATATGTTTATATATGTATATATATTATATATATATATATATATATATATATATATATATATATATATATATATATATATATATATATATATATATATATATATTAAATATATGTATATATGCATTAAATATGTGTATATATGCATTAAATATGTGTATATATATTTATATATATATATATATGTATATATATTGTATATATGTATATATATATATGTATATATGCATTATATATGTATATATATATATATATATATATATATATATATATATATATATATATATATACATATATATATATGTATATATACATATATATACAGTGCTTTCAGAAAGTATCAGCCCACACAGAATTTTTTTATCTTAGTCAACTTTGTCAAGGCTTTTAGGAAGGGGTTGGGGCTATTTACTGGATCTTGCACTGGCCTGGTGCATTTATACAAGTGTCATTTGAAAGCAATAAAAGACTGATTGATCTTTCTTTTTTTTTTTTTCAAATATTCCATAACACTTGCATAAGAGTCTTGAGCTGCACTAAGTAAGTAAGCTTGCTTTTTTACAATTTGCAGTCCACCCTGCAAAGATTTTCAATAGGATCTAAATAAGAAGAGCAAGCGGGTTAAGACATCAGATTTAATAAATTTTCCTCCATGTATTGTTTGATTAAGTGTGTTATGTGGCAAAGAGCAAGCCTTCTCAGAAAATATATATGATTTATATGATCACGTATACAGTATTTTTTTTTGACAAGTTTTCAATTTAATTTCAATTTCTCTTTAATTTCATATTTTTATGTTGCAATTTTGAAATTTTAGATGTTGTGTATATGGTTGTTTCAAGTAACATAAGTACTTAAATAATTGTTTAAGCAAATCAAGTACTTAAGTAAATTTTTATTACTTAAGTAAAATCAAGTAATTTTTTTTTCTGAATTAAATCAACAGAAAAATTTATATTTTATAAACATTTGCATAAAAATTGATTTTCAATTTTGAACCATAAAATTAAAGTATTATAACTTTTAGTTTAAATTTTGTTTATTTCTTAGTTTTATTTAATATTTTCCGAAAAAAAGATTTTAGCTTAGACTGCACAAAAAAAAAGTTTTATATATATATATATTTTATATATTAAAATTATTGCAGGAGATGTGTATTTGTGTCTTTCTTATCATCTTAAAGATCCTAAAGCATCAGCAGTTGAATGCGAAGCCTCCAATCTTGAAACTAAAGTAAAAAACTAAAATCTTTATGAAAAAAAATTAGACTTGCCAAAAAAATGACGCAAAAAAATTAGACATGCCAAGACTCTATGTGGTATGGAATCTATAAGTTTTTTGATTAGATCTTGTAGCATGGATTCCATAACACTTGCATTAGAGTCTTGAGCTTTATAAAAAATTTAATAAAAAAAAAGGCTTACTTAAATGTTTTTGATTGCATCAAAAAAGAAATGTCTGAATTTGAAGGATCAAATGCCCGTCCAAAAAAGCTTATAAAATTGTACTATACTTTAAAGTTTTTATCAGCATCATCAATTTTTACAGAAAGATGCTTTATTGCTCTAGACTTTTTTTTTATTACAAATTTGAGAACATTTTTAAGTGATAAATTGATAGCAATTTTATGTTTTCAGCGTTCTACCTTGAAAATTTTGTTAAGTTATGATTTGTTATACCTATATAGTACTATATCATACAAAAATGTAATATTAGATGTAATTTTTTATTGTTTGGAAACAACTAGAATTACTTAAGTTACTTAAGTAATTTACTTAATTTAAGTAACTTTCTTAACTTACTAAACTTAACTTATTAAACTTGAGTTGTTACAATTTATTTTATAGATTACAAAATTGTTATTTATAAAGTTTAAAAGAAGTTGTTAGTAGACTAGATTATTTAAAAACACTGATTACTTTCAATGCAATGCTGAGTAATTTATAAATTAATTCATGATAAATTCTAAGATTAGGTTTTGTTTTCAAGTATTATAATGATGTACTTTAAGTTTACCATTGTAATTTATAATTTGTAAACCTAAGCTGTTTTTG